TACATCAATGCCGATAAAAAAATTCATCAAAACAAATTAGACAAGGTCCACAATGCATCCAAGTACATCAATGGCCATCCTCACCCACAATGCATCCAAGTACATCAATGCGATAAAAAAACTTATCAAAACAAATTGGACAAGGTCCACAATGCATCCAAGTACATCAATGGCCATCCTCTTCCACAATGCATCCAAGTACATCAATGCCGATAAAAAAAACACATCAAAACAAATTGGACAAGGTCCACAATGCTAGCCATTGCCGTGAAGACCATCAAAAAAACCACAATTACTGCAACTCTATCATGCGCCACCACATCTAACGGAATGCTTGATTGCATGTACTTTGAGCGTGAAGCAAAAGGTCGACATTTTTGTTCATTTTTTGTGTGTTACAAGTAAAGAAAATAAGATTTAAAATTTTAATGCATTTTAAATTTCTCAAAAGGATGTTTACTTGCCAAATAAATACCTCTAATTCGACAATTGTCTCCTTTCACGAATAAACTTCTCCACCGAACTCAAAATCTTTCACTCATTCATGACAAATCCTAGAGAGCATAATATTCAGCAGTGATGAGATCAATTGTGCAACGATATGCTACATAGTTCAGAGAAAAGCATGATGATTGGCATGTCATTGGAAATAAGTTCTACTTTAAGTACATGGTAGGGCTATAATATAACATCCAATAAAAAAAAAAACTGTTAATCTTCTCCATTAAAAACTCTGAATAAGCATGGTTGTCATAACTACTGAAAGAAAAAAGCAACCCTTGAGTCAATAAGCCCTGTAATGAATGTAATCGAAACGATTTAAAGATTGCCGGATAATAACGGGATAAAAGGTTCAACTAAAATTAACTCTATACAACTTTTAAGCCCTGTAATGAATGTAATTGAAAGGATTTAAATATTGCTGGAAAAAAAAGAAGATAAAAAGGTTCAACTAAAATTAACTCTATACAACTTTTAAAATGGCCTCTATGTTCTATCATTTTCACGTCATGGAGCATGATGCTTAAAACGCAGGAATCTTCAAAGAAGTTCAAAGAAATTTTAAAGGAAGTGAACTGGTATAATAAACACAAAACAAACATTAGATACGATGAATTAAATAGATTTGAACATCCCCTTAGTATAGTGGAATGTCGTTACTACACCCACCATCTATTACGTGCCTGAGTTTGCGACCTTGTAGCGATTTTGTGAATGGGTAGAGAACAAGGATCGTCCTTGCATGCTCTACCTATGTTGGTAATATTGTAGGATACTTTGAGGGATCCTCTGTTGGGTATTGTGGAGCTCGATCCACGATTTGATTTGGCAATTTTGGCGTCTATGGAAATTAATTAAATTTTATTTAATTAAATTTTATTTAATTATTAAATTTTATTTAATTCCTTCTTCTTCTATGGATTCTCCCGCCTCTTGTTGGTAAATTGAGGAAAGCAATATTAATTAATATTACTTAATATTTCTTTCTCCATATTTCTTCCGTTGCTTCCTTTTGGAATTCGCTAATTAAAAGGCAGCTAATTAAAATTGCTTCTTTAATGGGTCATATTAGACCATTTAAGGAAGAAGAAGGATTTGCAAAGATATATGCTATTCCCTGTATTCCTTGCTGAAGCTTTTCGGGTAGGAGAGAAGCAGGTTTCCCAGGGTGGCTTACGGATAGAAAAAGGAAAAAACATAAGCAAGGCTTGTGCTCTCTCTTCGCTTTTTAAATTTGGCGTGAGGTTTCCAGCTCGCTTGGGTGGTTTTCGTTCTCCGTATGGCTCTAAGTGTGCCTCTCGGTTTAGAGAAAAAGGGAAGGTGAGAGGAGAGAGAGAGAGAGAATTCTTTCTTGTAAGTCAACGTGGTCGACGGTATAATCCTCAAAGCTAATAAAATCCTCTGCAACTCCGTGGACGTAGGCAAGTTGTCGAACCACGTAAATCTTGTATCGCATTTTTTTCTGGTGTATTTTTCTAGATCTATTTTTCGCTTTATTGCCGTCGTTTTTCACAACAACTGGTATCAAAGCCAGGTTCGAGGTTGAAAGAAAACGATGGGAGGAGACGAAGTGATGGCATCGGGGATCGAGAAATTCAATGGCACAGATTTTAGTTACTGGAGAATGCAGATAGAGGACTACCTCTATGGGAAGAAACTTCACCTGCCGTTACTGGGAAAGAAGCCGGAAAAGATGGACGAGGCGGAATGGAATCTGTTGGATCGAGAGGTTCTGGGGGTTGACCCTGTCAAGATCCGTTGCCCATCCCATAACATCATCAAGGAGAGGACTACTGCAGATCTCATGACAGCTTTATCAAACATATATGAAAAGCCATCAGTGAATAATAATGTGCACCTGATGAAAATGTTATTTAACCTGAAGATGACGGAATGTATGTCTGTTGCTCAACACCTGAATGAGTTCAATAATATCACTAATCAATTGTCATCTGTTGAAATTGATTTTGATGATGAGATTCGTGCGCTGATATTGTTGGCTTCATTGCCAAATAAC